TCAATGAATTGAATGTAGTTTGTGGAGATCGAGTCCCACTGCCCTTTGCTGCGATGTGTTGATGTGTCTACTGACATGTCTAATTTCCTATGTATGCATTACAGTCTGTCTATGTTAAGTGCTGGGAGATCTCTATCCTGTTTGGTGCATTTTAGGTGACATTGTATGTTCTATGTGGTCAGGTCGGGTGGCTAAACCCTCCCTTCTGTTGTAGTATATGTGAGCAGGCGATCACGAACATGTTATGTCATTGCAAAACCCTGCATTTATTCTAGCTATATGCACATCTGTCCACTGGTGCTTGTGTGGGCCTGAGGCCTAGATTATCCTGCCATGTCTGTGTTTCTGTGTTTCTGTAGTTGAGATCATGTTGCACCCTATGTAGGTGTGCCTTCTTTAGTTGCTGTGTCTAACTGTTTCTTGTGTCTATTGGTTCAGTAATGGTTCTGTGATGAGGTAGTGCGGGGCGGCTATAGCCGTCCCTATTGTGCCCACCCTCCCTAAAATCCCGTTTCCCATCACATTATATCATATTATATTCCATTATATTATATCACATTGTGCTCTTTGGACCCAATGGCTTATCACTGTCACCCTATCCTATTATCCCTTCTCTCTAGTCTTGTGTTATCTGTCTACAGTCCATTTGCCCTGGTCGCCTATCCCCTAAACCCCAAACCCCTATATCCCCCTTCTTGTCGTGAACTCTGTGCCCCTGTGTTACTAGTAGCAGACTACTAGCTTCCTCTCAGCTCTTTTGTACCGCAGCTCTCTTGTCTGTAGTCTTGGAATATTGGTGATTCTCCTGGCCGGCTGAAGGGAAAATGCTGGAGAAGGGGGAGGGGCTAGGGGAGGGGCTAGGGGAGGGGCGGTAGTGAGCGGGAGAGGAGGACACTGTCAGTGGGGGATGGCTGGGATGTTAGGCGGATCTACAGGGTTCAGTACAAAGTCTGTTGGTTGGAAATTAATAAGAAAGTGTACAGTTGGCAAGAACTCCCACTGTCTCTCCGTGGAGAGCCAGGGTTGTCATTGGAGGTTATTTTGTTGATCCAACGTGCAGAGCCTGTGAATCCAACCTCTTTCGTGTGAGCACCTCATTCGCCAAGCTGCCATAAGCAGTGTGAGACGTGAATATCGAAAAAGGTTGGTCATGAAGCTCGTCCATTCTGTTTCGGTTGGCTGGAGGGCCCCGAAGAGGATGGTTTTCACGTCCCATGTGAGGTGGTGCCCTGTGAAGTAGTGCCATGCTGCGTCCCACCAACGCCAGAGGCGTGTTACCATAGGGCAGTCCATTAGACAGTGCTCCAGGTTCGCAAGTTTCCGCGGGAGAATGAGGTCGCAGTAAGTGCACAAGGGAGAAAGTATCCCTTTTTGCTCTAGATATGTCCTAGCAGTCACCCAGTCGGGGGTGGATAGGCATCTGTGTATAATTTGCCATTGTAGGGCTCTGTGGTTGGTTGGTCGAATGTGGGAGTAGGACGTCCATTTAAAAAAGTTAAAATCCGTTTTTTCCAGTGGGGAGTCCCTATCCCACCTTCGCAGAATGTCATCCATAATTAGGACCTGTAGGTTTGACATTCGATATCCGTTTTTGACTGTGTATTGCCACGGGCTCAGTTTCGATGATCTCCCCCATTGCCATTCCCATTGTGCTGGATCGAATGGGAGGTGGGAGAGGGGGGTGGTTGGTTCGTATAAAAACAACGTGTCGTCCTTGTCTTCTACCACTCTCACCCTTATCACAGATGACATTGGGGTTTGGCAGTCCAAGTCCTCATCTCTGTGTATTTTTTACCATCTCGCCCCCGGTAGTTGTGGGCTGTAGGCGGCCAACTGCAAGTGGTCCAGGTGTACCTGCTCCACTTTGAAGACGGTCATGGGGAGATGAAGAGATTGAAGTTGCACTACCCAGTCATTTTGAACGATGGACGGCCTCCTGGATTTCTTGCAAGTCTTGGGCCAAGTTGGGAGAGAATTAAGGCTTAAAGGGTTAAAGGGTTTCCTGCGAAGATTTTTTTGAAGGCCGCTGACGAGTTCTCTGCAAAAAATCTTGGGTGCTGGGACGGTTGGGTCCGTATCCTCCGTGAAGGGGTAATGGAACACGGCCGCTGACGAGTTCTCTGGAAATTTTTTTTGGTGCTTGGACGGTTGGGTCCGTATCCTCCATGAAGGGGTAATGGAATACGGCCCTGGTCTACGAAAAATGACAGCTGCGGGATTTGTCACTACCTAGGCGCTACCGACACCAGGACACGAGGTGAATATCGTTTTCTGCTGATGGCGACAATATTGACGTGCGGGATGGG